GAAAGAAAGAAAGAAAGAAAGAAAGAAAGAAAGAAAGAAAGAAAGAGAAAGAGAAAAAGGTTTTGTTCATTTGTTTTCCAGACATGGTCCACTATGCAATCTAGGTTGGCCTGGAATTGATGAGAATCCTTCTGTGGCAACCTCAAAGTCTAAGATTTCAGACATGAGCTACCATTCAGCTATAGCTAAAATTTCAGTACTGGATTCCATTACAAAGGAATACTATGTCCTGAGCTATCAATAGAAAAAAAAGTGGAACAAAAATTTGTTTAATCTCTTTCTCGAAGGGGAGTTAGTCTGATGAGGAAAGGACAGGAGCTCCACAAGGACCAAATATATCTGGGCACAGGGTCTTTTCTGAGACTGACATTCAACCAAGGACCATGTATGGATATAACCTAGAACCTCTGCTCAGATGTAGCCTGTGGTAGCTCAGTAACCAATTGGTTTCCCATAGTGAGGGGAACAAGGACTATTTCTAACAGGAACTCAATGACTGGCTCTTTGGCCTCCCCACCCTCCAAGGGAGGAGCAGTCCTGTTAGGCCACAGAGGAGAGCTTTGCAGCCAGTCCTGAAGATACCTGATAAAACAGGATCAGATGAATGGGGAGGAGGTCCCCCCTATCAGTGGACTTTGAAAGGGGCACGGTGGAGATGAGGGAGGGAGGGAGGGACTGGGAGGGAATGAAGGATCGGGACACAGCTGGGATACAGAGTTAATAAAATGTAACTGATAAGAAAAAAATAAAATTCAAAAAAAATCTCTTTCTCATCATTTTAGCATCTCTACGTTTCTCAATGTATGTAACAGTAGTTATACTATATCATTTATTTTAAAGTAACTTATGAGCAAATATTTGTTAGCTAGTGCATTTTTATGTCTTATTGCTAGTGGTGCACTACCAAAATAAGTTGGAAGCTACTTGTAATTGATAACCATTGATGAAAAGAGTCAGTCAATACACCTTTGAAATTCTCAATGTTGCTGTCAGCTTTTAAAGAAAATGGAGGCACCATTCCCTCCAAGTGTCCTTTTTCTTTCACACCTGCATTAAGTACTCAGATGCCACTTTCACATTTCTCCTTATATTGGGTATCCTGGTATCCCTTAAAATATGACACTAACTCTGCGTATTTCATACCACAATAACAGAACATCTGAGTTTGGACTAGCATAGAGAAGCCTAAGAAAAAAAGGAGTTAAGGTTACTACTGTCTAATACTCCAAAGATAATAAATGCAGAAATGAAACAAAGAAATTTTCTGCAGAAGATCCAATCACAGATTGTGATAGGAAACAGGGTAGAAGATGTTGTACAGTAAAACTATTCCATAATAGACAGAGGTGTTGTAATCTGTGGGTGAATAGAGTTACACATATCTATCCTGTTGTTACAATCATATTATTGGAAATGTGTTAACATAATGTGGTGAATAATTGTAAAACAAACTGCATCACAATGTAGCAGCCTTATCCATTCATCTCTGTTATATTCATGACTGGAATATGAAAAATGAATTACATTATACATGCATGGTTTTCATCCTACCCCTCTGTTATTCCTTAATCAAATAACAATTGTCTTGTTCATTAATCTAAAAGCTATTAACATTGGCTTCTCTTAGGCCAGGGCAGTATTTTTGCACAAGTGTCTCATCTTTCTCCTCTGAGCAGACACCTGCCTCCCTTGAACATCATACTAACTTCCCAGTTCCTAGGAGAACTGGGAAGCGACCCACTGGTAAGCTCTGTTTCATTGATTTAATAATGCAAGACCTTACATTTGAGCAATCTTCACATTCCAGACCCAAGCAAGATTCACATTAAATCTTTTACAGCTATTGACACTTTTCAAAGGACATTCAAAGATATTCCTGACGCAATAAAAATTAGATTTCATATTTTTCCCTGCAATTGTGAACTCTACAATCCTGAGGTAATTTTTAACCTAAATCTCACTGTATCATAAAAAGAGCCCTAGGGGTCCTAAGATAAGTGGGCCAGGAAGTAATTGCCATTTAGGTGAAAGAAAAACCAACAAAGTTGAAATATTTGCTATTCTTCTAAAAAATATATGAAAATGCTGCTTGGATTCATATCTTAATACATCAAGGCCTGAAGCTGCCATCCCCTCTATTGCAAACTGTTAGTCAACTCTGCTCTGTGCTTTCTGTGCAGCTGCTACCTCTATGGTGATTTCTGCTTTTATCCAAACAGAACATCAAGTGCCTAGATCTTTCCTGCCAATACCATCCCCGGAGCCTTAAAGCAGAGAGACATTAGGTGTATATAGCTTCCTTCTTCTGGATGGTGAAAACCATCCTAAACTCTAGTTTATTATCTAGAAGTTTATTAGGAGCCTCTTATAATCTTAGAAAAAATGAGCCTTACTTTAGCTGAAAAAAAAATAGGTACTGGCCTATTGATTTTTATGAGATCTAGCAATGAACTAGCAAGGCATTGTGTAATATTCCTTACCCTTTATTTATGTATTTCAATTTTATTTTCCATATAAGAAAAACGTACATGTTAATAACAATTCTATTTGTTTCATTAAGAAAGCGAATATTTTAAGTTTTTATCATAATTTTGCAGAGTAAATTGATGAAACTAAATATTAATTGAAGAATAAAAATGAATAATGCAAGCTCTCCCTCTTCTGTTTTGTACACAAAACTATGTTGGTATGGAAGAAGGCTTGCATGTGTACATTTGCCATGTAGACATGTCCTTGTACCCTTGAAAAGTGAAGCATATGTGCATAGGGACAGGACACAGAACCTCAGGTTTCCTGTTCACTGGGCCCAGTGAAAACAGGTGAAGAATTAAGGTTTGGAACACTAACCACAGCTTCAGCCTGTACAACTTCTAAGACCTGGCCCAAAAAAATTTTTTTTCAAAAGTTTTCACAGTCATGTGTAAAGAGAAACCAAACATTTTTCAGTAATTCAAAAGATATTTGGAGGTCTAATCTGAGAACCATTTAACCTAACGTGTCTCAAGACAAGGCACTGGCAACAAGTATGGCAGACAAACAGCTTGTGCATATTTATAAAAACAGCAGAAAAAATCAAGAGAGAAAGGGTGTGAGAGAGAGAGAGAGAACGCCTACACAGATCAAATGAAGCCAACTGCATTCTAACATACTTGTAGTAACAAATTTCAGAGCCTGTCCGTATCCAGGCAGGTCGACCTAGGAGAGCCTCTTTCACAGAATACAGGGTCGGCTGCATCCCTGTGAAATAAAAGCAAGGCTTAAACCACAAGAAAATAAAAACAACCAAATGAAGAGTACAGCAGTAGGCTGGACGGTGACCTCTAAAGATACCCGGTTCTTGATTCCCCAAGGCTGAGTTGTGAATGTTCACCATATATAGTCAAAGACACTTTACAAATGTAATTAAATTTAGCTATTGAGCCAGGCTGATTATCCTTGTGGCTCTACAGATGTCTTTGTGAGGAGGTGGCAAAGGGAGGTTTGACTAAAGGACAGAAGCAATGTGACCAGAGACATTAAGGGTGCTATGCTGCCAGCTTTATAGAGGAAAGTGCCTCATGCCAAGGGGTATAAGGAAAACAGCTCTTGGATTAGAAAAGCACATGCTTCATCCCATAAAACCTCCAGAGAGAACACAGCCCTGCATACACTTAAAGCCCCATTTTTGTGAAATGAATGCAAGAGATCGGGCTCGCATTTTCATTCTGCAGGAACTAGTGTCTTTTTCTAGGCAGTATGGAATAGAGGAGGGGCCTGAAGTAGAATGAAGTAAAGGTAGCACCCACAGTTTTTCTTCTCCCAAAGCCACCAAATATATTAGTGAGCTCTCCCAAGTAGGTCATAAGGATTTAAGCATTTTCCAGAGTTTTCTAAATATGTAAAGCAATGTTCGAGTAGATTTTCTAGCTCTGTCTTGTGGCAAGCAGGCCCATATATTCATTTACTCTTGTGATGTTTAAAGGATGGAAAGCAGAAACAAATGAGAGAACCTTCCAGACTTCAAGGTCCAAAGTGTTCGACACCTCTGAAGGCCCTGCAATATCAGATGCACTGCTCACCTTCTGTGGCAGAGCGAGAAGCCCTCATGGCCCTTCCACAATTGCACTATGCCCTCAATTGGCCACTGTCTTGCCACACTGGTAAGCAAAGCACTCCAGCCCACCCTCAGCATGCCGGGACTCACTCCAAGGATAATAATTAATACAGCCAAGAAGTGGCCCATTCATGATATATGCAGAAATCCCCTGATCCCCGAGGGCTCATACCATAGTTGAACTGGCTGTTGGGTTTCTCACAGTTGATGATGTTGAAGCGGTAAATGACAGCGGTCCTCATGCCGCTCACCTTAAAGTAGAACCACTGTTGGTGCTGGGAGCTATTCACATCAGCATTGACCAACAAGTCATACTCAAACCTGTAAAGTCAGAAACAAGATAAAAGATAGAGTTTGCCCTTTCAAAACAAAAGTGATATTTTTGGCCTAATTCATGTATACTCTTCCATTCCTGAGCCCAGGAAAATGACATTTGTCTTAGTTAGGGTTTCTACTGCTGTGATAAAATGCTATGACCAATGCAGGTTAGGGAAGAAGGGGTTTATTTAGCTTGCATTTCCACATTATAGTCCATCATTGAAGGAAGTCAGGACAGAAACTCGAACAGGACAGGAACCTAGAGGCAAGATCTGATGCAGAGGCCACAGAGGGGTGCTGCTTACTGGCTTGCTCACCATGATTTTCTCAGCCTGGCCTTTTATGGAACACAGGACCACCTGACCAGGGATGGCACCACCCACAATGGGCTGTGCCCTCTCCAACAATCACTAATTAAGAAAATATCCTATAGCCAGACATTATGAGAGCAATCTCTCAACTGAGGTTTCTTCCTTTCAGATAACTCCAGCTTGTATCAAGTCAACAAAAAGACCCAGATAGCATAACATTATTTAGGGATAATTATGAAAGGACAGAACTTGGTACAAGGTATGAGAGTAGAGCAGAGTTAACTAACAGAGTTCTATCTCTCCTCCTGTGGCTGTCAGGACCTCACCAAGGAGCTCCCCAAGCAATGATTGAGGCATACTCCATTGGGTGTGTAAATCAGGCCTATAAGCAATTCTATGGCCCTTACTGTTTCCTGTTTCCACAGTGCTCACTCATAATAGTGGTCATTAAAAGTCTTTACTAAGATGTCTATTTTCTTCTAGTTTACGCTGCTCTGACTACAACTGGTTTATTTATGACTCTGTTCTCTGGTCAAAGGTGGATGTAGAGAGAAAGAAACCTCGTGGTGGCAGCAACTTGGGCAGATTCTGGACTGAAAACTATGCTCCTAGGAAACTCTTAAGTAATTGTTACCTCCTGGTTTGGATTTGACTTTAGAAATATGAAACAATGCAAACAGAGTGTTGTTACCTTTCTTTAGAAACCTATGCCCTCGTTTAGATCTCTCTCTCTCTTCTTTCTTCTATGTTTAAAGCTATATTAATTTTTTTCTTAACGAACTTTAATGTTGCTATGAGAAAAGAAAAAAAGAAAAAAAAAAAAAAAAAACAAGCACAAGCCATAAGATGGAGTAGAGGCTTAGCAGATAGTAGAAGCACGCTGGAAAGAAACTTTGACATACTTGTCCTTTCTTTCTTTGGCCCAAGTAGCTTAACTCATCGCTGTCCTCTGTATCAGTCTTTGTTGAAGTAGTTTGTGTACAAAAATAAAACAAAAAAGGTCATCTATAACTCTTCCCTCAAAACTTCACTCCGAAAGTGACATGTTAGATCTTAGCTACACTCACTTCTAAGCTCAAGTTGTGGTAAGCATGTGTCTAAAGCTAAGAGCATGTTCACTGAGCGCTTGCCATGTGCCAGGCACTACTCCAAGAGTTTGGGGCATATAATTAACCCTGACAAAACAGCTACAAAGTTAGGTGTTACTGCTATCCTCATTCTGTAGATGAGAAAATAAAGGCATGAAGTAAGCTAGGCCACCCTTAGAACACCTAGGAAAAGGTGGCAGTAACCCTGGCCTCACTCCAGCACCTGCATGTCTGTATTGCCAAGAGCCATACCTGTAGCTCTTCTTACTTACTCACGCACTTGGATGGCTTTACGAAGATTTCCTGATTCAAACTTGGACTGGAACCTTAAGCAACTGGAAGCAGGGCCTTGCAAAAGCCTATAAAAGAGAGGGGAGAAAGAGAGAGAGAGAGAGAATATGTGAATATGTAATATCGCTGTGTTTACGTTCCTTAAAGAAAAGATGTCTCTCATAGTATTTGTATCAGAATAGTCAACATACTATTTTAGAAGCAGAAATGGACTACCAATACGGAACACTTTTATTAACACGTCACTCACAGAATTCCCCATGCCTCCCTTTCCGGAGATGTTCAAGACCACCTACCAAGGCTCATCTAAACTGAAGACAACTTTATTTATAACATCACTTGGCTGGAGGAGCCTCCGGACGTCCTCAAGTATCTTGATCCTTGAAAAGAAAATTGGAAACAATGCAAGTGTTGGCATCCACTCTTTATCTCAGTCTCAGAAGTCATTAGAGAAACACAGAAGATAGGTGCTGAACAGTGCCTCAGACTGAGGTTCAAGGGGTACAGACAGCACTGCCCATCTTCTTTTTCCTTTTTATTAAACCATAAAAATAAATGAGTAGTAGGAACAGAAGGGAAGACGGTAGGTTTTATTTAAGGTATTCGTAGCTTGAAGAAAGTCTTTAAGAGAATCTGGGCTAGAGTACTATAGCTTTTCTGGCTATATAAATAAGAAATTTCTCTGCACTGAGAGAGCATTGGGGAAGAGATTACCACTATTGACTTTTTGCATCCTTGAAGCTTGGAAGGCTCCAGCAAGGCCTTCTACTTCATATTTATTCTGTAAATTTGTACTCCTTGGACTCTGTCTGTTCTAGAAGGCTGAGGTCAGCCTTTTGTCTGATTAAGGGAAAAAAAAGTGTCTATGAGATTTAAATAAGAGAGAGGGAAAAAGTTTAAAAGGGGTTTCTAATTCCTCTTCTCATTTTCGATTAGTTTTGCTGACATTGGGTAAGAGAATGGTGAAGCTGAGGTGGAACTAAAGCAAAGAGGTTGTCTAGAGAAGTAAGATGGGGACAGACCACCCATGAGGTATTAAGCATGAGGATCCTAAGCATAGCAGTCATGTTGAGATGAGATCAGGCAAGAATTCTAGTAGGAACCCTTCTTAGGACCTACCCTCTATAAAATCCTCACCTCTGTACTCCCAATTTGCGATCCAGCATGGGCTGAGCAGTGGTAGGTGGACAGTGCCCCCAGAGATCAGGTAACGCCATCATCTTGAATCCCACAGCAGATCTTGTTCTCATAGCATTGGCCATATAAAGATGAGGATCGTGGAATGGTGTGTTCTTGAGATGTGCGTGCAGAAGCTTCTCTGCTGTTTCATTGCCTTCTTCTGACTTAGTAGAGTTGGAAAACGAGGCAGTTATCCTTGGGCAAGAAATGGCTTCTATATCCCAAGCAGCCTGTTCTAGGGAAGCCTGACTGTCATCAGAGGCATCATGTCCAGAAGAATCTATCCCAAAGCCATTTTGTGGTATACTTTGGTTCCCATTCATTACAGGTCTTTGTTTTGAGGATGGCCGTATGCTGGACTTCCCTCCCTTCACCAAGTGCAGAATGGAAATATGGTCTGTGTCTTCACTTTCTTGTCCCCAGGAGCTGTGCTCTCTGTTGAAGCACTGTTGTCTTAGAGAGGCAACACTTGGAATGTGGTGGTGATTGGCAAACGGAGTGGCTTTGATGTTCAAATCATCTCCATATTTGGATTCTAGTTCCTTTAAATTCAAAGTAGAAAAACATGTATTATTATTTGTTTCCAGATAAAGAACACAATTTGATCCCAATGCTACCTGTATGGATATAAAGCTAAGTCTGATCCTGATGATGCAGGGGCTTTTTCAAAGAGCCACCCGGGGGGGAGGGGAGGATCTAAACCTTATGAGTAAACAAAAGCCAGAATTACACAAAAGCCATGCTCAGAAAGGGTTTTGGATGGGTCTCATATAATTCTATATAGTGTATAAATTTTTTTGCAACCTCCTCCTCCCCATTCAATTACAGTCTGACTGAACAACTTCATTTATAAGGGTCTCAATGATACACACAGGAAAGCCTTTCACTGTGCCCCAGGCAGTGACTTTGATTTGAAGACAATTCTGATTTTTTTTTTAGAAGTCTGAACTGATTATTTTCTACCCTGAAACTTTGAGCACTGAGCTTCTTTTGCTTTCCAGAGTGAAATAGGATATATCAGCCCTTCGCTACATGTGCCTCTCTATGCCCTTTGATGTGGCTGGATTCATAATTTGTTTAAAAGCAATAAGAAAGTAACAGAGACCAAAAGGCAGGCCTGGGTCTCAATACTAGCAATAGCAGCAGTAGCAACTGCACCATAGGTTAGCATCGCCAGGTCTAAGGTGTTCATTTTGCCTTTACTAATACAGAAAGCCTAGCGTCTGGATGGTAACCTTTAACAATCCATCTATGGTGATGATGGCAAAAGAACACCAAAATCATGCAGAATTTCCGTTTGCTTTTTAGTGGGGAACCAGAGCTCCATGCCCACTCAGCAGGACACTGTTAATAATGTGTAACTTTGTCCTAATTCTATCCTAGGTTTAGAGTTTCAGACCTTATCACTTTCTGGTCTCCCTATCCTTTTCCTTCTGCTTTTCTCTTAGAAGGATCTAGGAACAATGGTAATGATGAACAACACGGTCCATCTGGAAACCTCTGGTTTCCCAGGTTCTGCAAAGATCACAGTATGTATCACCAAGAGATTACATCCTGCTTACCTCACAGTTGTAGGAGAGCTCCGGACACATCACAGCATACTGTGCCAGTTCCTCCTCCGGTAGGTCAAAACCAGGATTAGGACTCAGTTTATTCATATCAGTTTCCAAGTCATCATCCTAAAGCAGAACAAAGAATGGGACACAGTCAAGAAATTCACCTTGCAGGGTGTCAAGACAAGATACATATCTGCTTCTTAGCAGAAGAGGCCATGAGTTCCTTATCTCCAGATAATAATGTTAGCCCACTCAGGAAAGAACTTAAAGAAATATACTTGCTTATAATTTTCAACTTAGAGGGATAAGTGTGTAAAGCATTTTTTAGCATGGATGTCAGTATTCCCTAGCCCTCATCAGAAATAAATGTGCAATAAACTATGTAAATAATAAAACATGCTATCAGAGAAATTCTTTTTCTTGTTCATAAATAGAATCACTGCTGTTATAATCCCTTTTTGCCTGGCTACCTTTGCTGTTTTGGTGCTTTACCTGCACAAACATCCAATGAGCACTTTTCAGGGGTGAGAGCCTTTCTAGATACTAGAGACTCAGTGACAATGAAACAAAGGTCCATGGTCTAGTAGAATTTGCCTTCTAATAAAAGAAATGAGACACATGTAAAGAAAATGGAGCACAGTTATTTCTACCAGTGGTAAATGCTAGAATGTTGGAGGACGGAGACAAGTTTGGCATTAAGATCAAAGTGTGTGTAGCTGTTGGAACTGAGTGACTTGAGAAGGCACACAAAGGAAGTCCCTATGATGTAATGACTGTAGAAGATACAATGATCGATAAATAAAGAAAACCATTCTTGTGAAAGGAGCTGCTTGAATTTGCTTATGGAAAGAAGATGCCACAAACATGGAGCAGGAGCGGAAGATCATAGCAGACGAGATGTGAGAGGAGGTAGCAGAGGGCCATGGCTGATATGTGCAGTTTCTGGGAACAACCTATCCTGCTGTGCCCATGTCTCTCTGTGGAGTTAAAGGTGAACCAGCACTCATAGGTTTCTCTTCATGGAACAAATCACATGAGTAATTATGCTTTTCATCTAGATTAGCATCCTGTAATAGCATACGCTGTCTCCACTCTGAATACATTTGTGCTTCCCAAGGGTCATGGTGTCTTACAGATAAACTGTACCCAGGATGATACTGTCCAAACTCTCTGCCTTTCCATATTCAAGTCCCTTTCCCAAAATACGGAAAATATACCTACCACAAACTCTAGAAACACATTTGGAAAGATAAGGAAAACCTGCCAGTCCCGAAGGCCTATATCAAAGAAATGTGGAAAATAAATGCTTATACTTCTGAGCCAGTGGAAAGGAAGAAAGTGCAATGTTCTATCCATCTCATATAATAGTCCTACAAACCCAGCTCAAAAGAAACGTAAATCCCCTGAGTTTGACTTAATGATACATGCAAGCATGATTCGGGCCTCCACACCCACTGCTCTCATCTCTACAAGCTTTGTCTGTCCGTTCCGACCCTCAGTCATGGCCCAGGGTGGCCCCGTCGAGAACACAACATGGCTAGCCACTGGGAAGACTGTCTCTACCAATGAATAGGACTGTTTTTTTAGAGTGAGGCTTGTTGTATAAGCCATAGGTGGCGGCGTAGTTCATTCCACATTTGGTCATTGACCCATGCAGTCCTACAGCAGGGGTTAGCAAATGGTGACCCGCTGCTTTTCTTTGTAAATAAGGCTTTCTTAGGGCACGGTTGCGCTCATTCCTCTACGTGCCATCAATGACTGACAACTTTGTATAGCAGCAAAGGTGGATTGATGTGGAAAGGACATTTCTGTTCTACAAAGACATGAAGCGAGACTGAAGACATGGCTCGACGGTTAAGAGTACTTGCTACGTAAGTATGAGGACCTGGTTTTGGATGCTTAGCGACCACATAAAAAGCTGGACAAGGTCACATGTGCATCTAAGCCCAGCGCTGTAGGGGCAGAGACAGGAGAATCACTGGGGTTTGCTGGCTACCAGTTCAGCTTCAGAGACTAAGAAACCATATCTTAATAGAATATGGCAGAGAGGAATAGAGCAGGGCACCCAAATGTTCCCCTCTGGCCTCCAAATGCACATGCGACCACATACTTGCATGCTTATGTATACATATGAAAACCACACCAACACATGAGACCTTCACCACTTCATATAAGACTATTTATACTCATCTAGGAATGGACCCGCTGTTGTGTCCTCGTATTTTCTAGGATTCCGGTAGCCCCTTAATCTCAACAACGCATTCTGACCTGTCCTCCTTAAATTGGACCTTATGAGTACTGTCACTTCCCTGATGCACACTGGCTTGTTCAGATCATAAAGTGCTTAGTTGGCCTTTAGTAAGGACAACTCCAAGCTCACAGTGGTGTGAACACTGACAATAAGAACCAATGTCTTGTTTGCTGTTATATCATACAACCATTCCCCCAGAACTTCCAGAACTTAGCCTGATCTGTGTGGATCATACCAAAGAAATCACCTGAAAGAAAGAAAAGAAATTCAAAAAGAAAAGAAATAAATGTGTGGGGGAATGGGAGGGAGAGGAGCCCAAGCACGCTCTGCATTCTCCTCTCTCCATAGTTTTCCCAAATCTAATTCAAACATGAAGAAAATAACATAGCCGCCATCTTATCTTCATGTGTTGTTCCTCTTCTCCTATGTTGGCCCCGACATTTTCTAATCAAATCAGATCATTCAACTCCTCAGACCTTCTACTCATGAGATTTTTTTTGAAATAGATTTACCCAGATATAGGATTCATTTATCTGCAATTTTCAAATGAGAATGCTTCAGGCTAACGGCCTGGGTCAAGATCATAGCAGATGAGGTGTGAGAGGAGATTAGATTAGAAAAGAAAGAGATTGTGATTAGAAAAGAAACAAGATGTGTTCCTTGTCCATATTAGGGGCAGCAAACGCTACAGCAGTTACCAAGAAAAAGCTGGTAGCTGGGAGGCCAGCTCTCCTATTCTGAGAGTCAAGCCTGTGTTACCCCATTGCTCTATGCCCACCGTCTCCTCAGCTGTACGTTTTAATGAACAGTTTATAGGCCCCCACTAATTTATCTTTTGTTTCTTTCCTGGCTGGATTTTTGTATTCTTTTAATCTCCACACCTTCCTACCCCACCATTCTCTCTAGTATGGAGTCAGGGAAAGCATCAGGACCCCCTAAGACTCTAGCTAGCTGCATGGAGTCAAGCACCATCAAACGCTGTGTCCGCCTGCATCAGACACATAAGGCGGCTGACAACCTATCAGACATCCAGTTATCAAAGTTCAAGCAAGAGGGGAGTAGAAGGTGGCATTGATGAATGACTGCAGCAGCCCGGTATTATTCAAATGATTCTGCACGTACTCTATAGGCCTGCGTGGCCAAGCCACAGCAAAGAACCAATTTGCTACTGATGACTCCAGAAATGATTCTATTTATCAACAAAACCTTGGGAACATCAGACTGTCAATAGCAGTCTAAGCCCAGAGACGGGCCCGAGAGATAGTCCCTAGATGTCTGCCATGGCCAGCAACAGGGTGAGATTGCTTGGATTGAGAATTCTAAAACCTCTTTCTCTGTAGGAAAGGAAAGAAAATGAAAGGAGAAGGAATAAAAAAGGAAGGAAGGGAAAAGGAGAGGAGAGAAGAAGAGAGGTGGAGACTTGTTTCTTTTAGTTTTGTATAACATTTTAAATTGTGTGTATGGTGGGATGTGGGGGGTGTATGTGTATGTGAGAGTGTGTGTTTTTGCTTTGTATGGAGTGCATTTGTCATGTGTGTATGTGTTTGTTTGTATGTGTGTGGTGTGTGTGTATATTTGTTATGTGTGGTGTGTGTTATGTGGTGAGGTGTGTGTTTGTTATGTGTGTGAGGTGTGTGTGTGTGTCTGTGTGTGTGTGTGTTTGCTATGTATGTGGTGTGTATGCATGTGTGCATGTGAGTATGGGGGGGTGGGGTGTGAGCGTGTGTGTTTGTAATGTGTGGTGTGTGTTTGTGTGTGTGTATGTGTGTGTCTCTGTGTGTGTTTATTATGTGTGTGGTATGTATGTGTGTATGTGCAAGCAAGCACATATGTGCACACACATACACATACTCAGAGGTAAAAGGACAACTTGGGGAAGATGGTTCTCTCCTTCTATCATATGAGTTCTGGAGACTGAACTCAGATCATTATGCTTTGCAGCAATTGTCTTTATCTGCTGAGCCATCTTGCTGATGCAGAATTATTTTTAAGTTTGAATTTCACTTCCAGGACTGTGTTTCAGATCTTATGCTACAGATGACAAAAGTAAGGAACTATGAACGGAGAAACTTATCCAAAATTATATACAGCAAATAAAAATGGAGACAGAATTATAACTCATAAACCAACTATCGTTCTTCTAGGAGAATGGTTGACAATTAAGAATGGTTTGGCAGTTTGTGGAGATGCTTTTTGTTCATAAATGAAGGGCAAAGTGATGGATGCAATGGGTGAATAGTGAGTGGAAATCAGGGATATTGTTAAGCATACCATAATACACACCCTCCTTCAAATAAGAAATATTCGATCTATATTAAAATAATGCTAAAGTTTAAAACACCTATCACCAAAAAATAAATAAATAAATAAATAAAATAAATAAAAAAAGGCAGCCAGCAAACTATGTTCTTCAGACTGGGAAACAGCTATATCCATTCATTCTTGTATTATGGATGCCAGTTTTTGTGTTATAATGGCAAATTGAGTCATTGAAGAAAAGAAGAAGTGGTTCACAGAGCGTAAAATAATTACAGTGTGAACTTTGATAAAAAGCTTGCAGCCCTCCCTTTCAGGGATCACTGTGAGATAGGGAACAAGCAACATCATGTCTTTGGGAGCTGAGCTGCACCTTGGAAAGCAAGGAAGACTAATCCATAGAGGTGCGAATGGAATGCACAGGGCCACATCCCTGTGCAAAATGGAAAGAGGATAAGAAATAGGACTTAGGAAGACGGGTGAAGTCTAGAAGAAAGTTCCCTAAATCATCTTTCTATGCCCTTATTAAATAAACCAACCCTAAGCCTGGAACCACAAGTCTGTCAGGATCATACTGGTAGAATACTTGGATCACAGTCAATAGACTTGACTTTACAAGGAGACTATGTACGAGATGTAGCAAGATGAAAATGACATCTGAAAAATCCACAAGAGGATCTGTGCTTTCCAGACATCACTACTATTGGAGTAACAATGCTGGAGTAGGTTCAGCAGACATAGGAAGTGTGCTTTCTACTGTGCGGTGTCAGCATAGATATTATCACAAGCAAGGGCACGGTTACCTACTTCTTTCACAGCCTCCGCATCTGAGTCTTTGTCCATCTCCTCATCGCCATCATCTTCCAAATCTTCTGGGTGGGAGAAATGAGGTGAAAGAATGAGGATACTCGTTTTCTGTTATATACTCTCCTATGCACAGTGGCCTGGATTTTCTTTGCAAATAAGGGACCCATTACCAAGCAAGGGCACACTAGGATGGTCACACCTTTGTGTGCATGCTGTGCACGTGAGCCTATGCGAGGAGGAGGCCATGATGCCTAAACCATCATTTCGAGCAAAATGCAAAATGAAGGTGAAGAGAAATAGCACCCAAATGGCACTACAGTTTTTCCTCCTTCTTGATTTGGAATATTGATGCAACTGACACTGTCGAGATTTACAGACCCCGTGTGTGTACTCTAAATTCATTGTAATTTAGACAATGCCTTGGTCAAGTCCCTGTTTTTAAAATGAAGGAATTTAAGAACTCTCCACTAGCTTTAGAAAGCCATCAGATGCCATGTGCCAAAATTTCAAGTGTGGGAAGTCTGCAGCAAGGAAAAGGAGATTAAAAACACACTAGAATCTTTGACCTTAAGGTCTTCCTGGAGGTTGAATCATGATGCTTTTGGATATTCTAAAACGTGTATTACGTAGTTTTCAATGATGAAAGTTTTACTTCAGTTTTGTCCAAAGGACAAACTAATTTCACCAATAGACAGTACAGCAAAGATGTTGGGGTAAAACAACTGTGGAAAGATTGGGGTTTTTTTGTTTTGTTTTGTTTAATTAGATGAGATGACTGCACAAGCCACCAGGCAACGCGGCAACAGCTAATAATTAGGGGTAATGTGAGTGAGCTTGAAGCTGCTTCTCCCTGCTTATGAAAACTCTACTCTTTCATACATGTCTGTCTCTAATTAGCTTATTAGATGATCATGGCTGACCCATTCAACTGCTTCTGCTTTAATCCCCATCCCTCTGGCATGCTGTAAAATGCGAACTCTCATCTCAAAGCTTAGAGCTTCCTGAGACTTTACCTTCGGCTAGACCTTGTGGAAGCCCCGAGCTGCTGCTTCCAGGAGCTGGGAAGGTATAGGCACTCCTAGTGGTGACCAGGGGGAGTGGACTCTCGGGGTAGCACTGCCTGAGGATCTGAATCACAGCAGAGATCACAGGTTCCATGCTCTTGTTCTCCAGGCAGGTCTGAGCGGAGAGAATATTATAACAGACATGTGTGCAGACGCCATGCTGGGACATTATTTCAGATAATGAAATGCACAAACCCAAGTGGACGGTAAACAGTGCTGTATGGTGTTTAGTAGTTTGACTGTTCTAAAGGAGAATGTGGTCTAGTCAGAATCGGTATTTTTATTTCTGTTTTGCTGCTCGGGTGGCATTGGAGGCTCTACTGGAGGCAAGTCCTTATCTGGGATGCCTGAGGAAAGAGTAGTGACACATTCCTTCAGGTACCCGTGAGTCACTGTGAATCATGGCCTAAGTTGAGGAAGGAGTGGCTGAATTGATGAAAGTCTTGCTTTTCTCTTTGGGCTGTTATCTGAACAGAAAAACGTGAAGGATTAAACTATCAAATCATAAGGAAAACCCAAGCAAACCCCACGTGCCTAAATTCAACAACTTGCTTGTCTCAAAGCCCACTGTGCAGATCTCGCATGGTACCTACCCAAAGCAAAGAAAACGTGAATTTGCAGATGTAATGTTTTGATGGTGATGGAACATGACAATACCTTTCTTTACAGGCACTGTGAAAAATGTACAGACAAGTTTACCAAGTTGAGACAGAGTTGGATGTAGCCTGGTAACTCTGTGTCCAAAACACACCATTTCCTCCAGTAGCTATGCCGAACTTGGTATAGAAATATGTCCAGCAGTGGGATGCAGGGGTACATGCCTGTAATTCCAGTATTCAGGGAGGCAGAAGCAGGTGGATTTCTGTGGGTTCAAGGCCAGCCTGGTCTATTAAATGAGTCCAGGACAGCTAGTGCTACACAGAGAAACCCTGTCAAAAAAAAAAAAAAAATCTAAGATGAGACTCCAGAATAAGAGTCTTACAAGATACAGAAAGTTCTCAGATTAAGAAGGCATAATAGCTAGGTGCTAAGCATCTGAACATCCTCCATAAGCCCTGAGTTGTGGTGTTGTCTGCACTCATAGTACAGGTAGCTCAGGAAAGCAAAGAGAGAAAATACCAGTAAAAATGGAGCTGGGGAAATGGCTCCACTAATAAAGTCCAGGCCATGCAAGCATGAGGCTCTTAGATTGATACTCCAGGACCCACATTAGAAAAACAGACTGCACAGTACAATACACTAGAAATACAGAGATAGAAGAACCTAGAGAACTTGCTAGCCAGCCAGCATAGCCAAGTCGGTAGTCCCCAGGTTCAGTGCAGACCTTGTCTCCAAAAATAAGGTGGAAATAAAATGAAGAAGGGACTAGATTTCAACCTCTGGCTTACACACACACACACACACACACACACACACACACACACATTCACAGATTATGCATCTACACACACATGTGCATACACAAACATGGCCAAGAATTAGCAAACGAGGCCTTTGGATACTGTTCAGGGTTAGAGCACTTGGTTAGAATGTGTAAAACCTGCATTCAATTCCCAGCCACCACTACACACACAAAAAGCAGACTGCAAAATGTAAGTGAGCCAACTTTCAAAACAGAAATGTCTTAATGCAATCAAGAATGCCACTTTTTCTTTAGTGTGCTCAAATGGTACCAATCAAGTGTCTCTGCAGACACAGCAGGAAACACTCCCAGTGGAAAATGAATTAGTTGAAGATATTTCATCCCTTTGGCCTGGTCAAATGGCCTCAAGTGTTTGTTGTAGAGTTATTAGTATTAGAAAAAGAGAAAATGGAGTGTGGAAGAGAAAGAAGGAAGGCAAATAGATGCAGATTGGGGATGATGCTCTGAGATTCAGCTTAGGGAAAACAGAGCTAAGTCCAAGCCAACAGCATCAAAATGCCAACATTTTGGAGCCCAGCTCTATCTGTAATTGCCACTGACACAGCCACTGATGATGATTGATGGCAACAGCTTTTTTGTTTTGTGTGAGATGGTCCAGGTGAGAACTGAGTAGAAGGAGAAAAGCAAGTTCATGCATCCTAAAAGTGTGGATCATGCCATAGCTGAACAAAAAATATTGGGCAGGGAGGGGTAGTTGAATTATATAGAGACCAGGTCATTAATGATAATGTCATATTGGCGGGCCTTCCTTTATTTGGAGTTAAATGTTCATGAATTCAAAACTTGATTATTGATTCCAAGAAAATAATAATTTCTAGATTCACTTGTCATCATGTCCCTTGATAACAGACCCTGGAGGGCAATGTCAGATGACAACATTAGGTTAAGAAGTGAACTTGGTAAAAGTCCCTGTAGGAGAACATACTATTTAAAAGGCTGAAAGCAAAGTGGCCGGGGGAAGGGGGACATCAGTGAATGTGGGGATTTCAACCCCTGAAAACTTCACCCACATGTTGTGCATATGTTTCCATGTGACAGGATTCGTGTATCATGGACAATTTATTCAGCATTGTTCCATAACCCTTCCTGGGCTACTTTTTCATATAATGCCAATCAGAGATTACAACACGGGCTGAACAAACCTCACTATGAAATGTAGATTCTGCCTCCACTCACATTTGACTTCTGTTTACAACAGCAAGTGGAGGCTGGAAGCTTATTGATTGCTTAAGAGAGGGATTGAAGACATTACTGACCTGTCGAGGAACTGTGTCTAAAGCGCTGCATATGTGCTTGAAGCCTCTCGCATGCCTGAGCTTTATTTGCTGTAATATTTTTTTTTCACTGTGTCCCTCTCTGCAATATACGACTGTAAAAATCACCATCTTTTTCTTCTACTGCTCTTTTGGATATGTTTAGTGCAGAACAGAAAAACAGCCAGTGATATAGAGGACAGACTGGGTGAGCATGCCAGCTAGAATGGGAGTGCCTGGTATCAGCCATTGGGGGGAAATTTCACAAGGACTGGGTGAGATTAGAGACTTGGAGGATCATGAGCCTACAGAGCACACGGAAGCTTGGAAAAAATGAAAGCGCTGCTTGATCCAGAAAAGCAGAATTCAAAATGCAGCTATTTCATGACTGAGAAGCTCTGCACTCAGTAATGACAAGAGAAAAACCCAGAGGTAATAGCAGACAGAGAATTAGATATCGGTTTGCAGCAACAATATCATGTTAGTATTTGGAGGGGGATGTGGTTTTTAAAGAGAATTGGAAAAGTCTAGTGATGCTATGGTGGGAGAACAGCACTCTCATTGGCTGCTTCATTGCTTCTGCATGGACTCAGGTAGAGTAAATTTGGAAGGTTTCCAGAGAGGACCAATGAGCACCAGAGACTAACAGCTGGGAAAATAACAGGGAACACAAGGCATATGAAACAGAGCAGGTGATGGATATTTGGATGTTCGGGTCTCTGAGACTGTATTTAAATCAGCCCTAGTCAAGTGTAGCTGAGGAATGTGTTACTTGAGTTGAACCCAAATAACCTCGGACCATACACCCCACCTGGTGCAGATAAGTGCCAACTGAAGGAGTCTCTATTTTCTTTGCCTGGGACACTCCCTTAAACTTGGTATGATGGGCTGTCCAATAATTTAGGTTTGAGTATTACCTACTCAGAGAGACCTTACTGTCACTAAATGATCTTCTCCTTCCACCTATAGGAGTCTCTCTTACACTATTGGTTTCACAAACAACTGCAAAAATCTTTCTCATTGGATGTTTTGTTTATTTAAGGCCTGTCTCCTGATAAGGCCTGTGCTCCCATAAGATCAGAAGTACCATTTGTCATGTTCACCATAGATTCCCAGTACTATTTAGTCCAGTGACCACTCACACTCAAAAGAAGGCTAAGATACAGTATGTATTTGCCTGAACACATGAACTTAGTGGACAAAACAATCTAAGTGTTTCAATTCCACATTTTTAGTGTATATGTGTGTGTTTCTTTTATTTATTTTGTTGTTGTTTGAAACAGGGTTTCTCTGTGTAATCCTGACTGTCCTAGAACTCACTCTGTAGACCACGCTGGCCTCAAATTCACAGAGATCTGCCTACCTTCTGCCTCCTGAGCACTGGGCTTAAAGGTATGTGTCACCAAGCAAGGCCATATGTTTCTTTAAATTAAAAAAGAAGCAAAAGAAAATTGATGGTTTGAGAAGGTAGATGATAGTTTAAAAGTTTCACAGCTTTAAATTGAGATCTATTATTCTGGAGCCCATAGTCTTAATCACTTTGCTATTTGTCATCTTTAGTAGTATGCTGACAATAAACACATGATTCTGAATGAATGAGTGAATGAATGAATGAATGAATGAATGAGAAAACTCATACTGATTGAATGATTGAATGAGAATACGAATGAGTGAATGAATAGGGATTTGAATCCAGAACACCTGCCATATTGAACCAAGAGCCATGTTGAAGCTGTTGCTTTAGTTTTCCCTGCTTTGTTCAAGACAATTTCCATGCTTCAGCCTTTGAGGATCATCCAGAAGCCATCTGCCTGCTGAGGAAATCCCCATGCTGGCTACCTGTGCAATGCTGAAGAGAGTCTCCATGCCTTGGGCTGCCAGGAAGGCCTCTCTGCCAGACCGGAGGGTGACGATGTGCCTGAGGCAGAGCAGGAGCTCATGGCGGATCAGCACATAGGTGTTGGTCACATCGTGGCTGTGCCAGTCCTGATGAAGCCTGAGTAAGCTGGTGACGTAGCCTCTGTTCACTGCCCTGCGACAGTTAGACTCTGGAGACAAAAGGAAAAGGTCACGTCAGTCACAGGACACGGCAGCCTGAGAGTGCCACGGTGTGTCTCCCACTTAATACTTACAGTGGCCATAATAACAGTATATAAAAATGCCAGCTGGTCTTTTAACCAAATGATCGAAATTAACATCTCTAGTAATAGGACATGAGTTCACAACATGCCCCACTTAATATGATGACCCGAGAAGGACACAGCATCACTTCTATGGCATTCCTGCCAAAACACATGATGTTAATCTTAGCATTAGGAAAGTCAGCAAGCTCATAGTGAGGTAAATGCTACAAGACATGTGACCTATATTCTTCTCAAATGACAAAATCATAAAAAGGAAAAAAAAAGACTTGGAATGGAGACAGGAAAAGACTAAGACAAGACAACATGGCACCTAAGACTAATGTGTAGTTATAATTCAGATAATGGGCCAGAAAAAAATTACTTTTGCTAGAAAAAATCATCAGTGAAGCAGGAGCTAAAATTTGAGTAAACTTCATAGATCACCTCCTAGTATTATGTCAATATTTATGCTATGTAGCTACTTCCTTCTAATTGAAACACTCCTTATCCTTCCTGGAGGGAGACTCAGGAGACTCAGGAAGTTCTTGAAACTGAGAAGATTAAAAAAACCCTTTCCCAAGGTTACATAAGCAGTAAGTAACTGTAGTGTTACAGGAGATTGCAGAAGCAGCTGCCTGCAAGTTCCGAGGGGGATGGCTGTAATTTTCATGAGTCATTGCTCATACTTCTGAGGTGGGCTGTTTGGTGACACAGCTGTCTGAGTCGCCCATGTCCCTGTAACTAACCTTTCACCATGCCCCTAGAAAGTAACCACAAGAAAAACTCATTTCACTAAGGCAGACTTAAGTAGAATCTTTTCTTTGGTTTGTCATCGGTACCCTTTCTGTGATGAATATATATTTACTCATGTCTCCACAGGGAAAGTCACATAACACAATTGGCACCCAAAGGCTGCTTGACAGACCCATAGATTATACTGAAAGAAGCTGTTGAATGGATTCTGCTGTTAGAGTTAAGCCTGACATAGCTGAGGGTGGGGCATTCACAGGGGCAGTCCCAATGTGGCTACCTTCCCCCGTGTAGTATGAGATACTGTGGCTCCTTGCTTTGGTGACTTTTGTGCGATCCCTGCTGTGAACTGATAAAACATGCAACTGATGTCAAGCTGTCTGAGGGGTGGGTGCCCTGGGGTGTGGCTGTCTTCCTCTGGTACCAGGGGGCCAATCTTGAGTGTGGAATGGGTTTGAAGATGCACCCAGAGGAGTGCTAGACTAGAGACCCTAAAGTAGTACATACTGAAAGGGTTCATAAAAGGGCTGTGGTAGCATCTGTCCATAAGACATATAACTAAATCTGAACATCCTGCCTGCAAATAATTTTGCCCACCTAAGAGGGGAGTTACAATGGGAGAAGGCATGGAGACGCTCTCCTTGGCACTAGCATGAAAAGTGAAATAAGCTAGGATGAGACTGGGGTGTTTGCTTGTCATTTATTATAGCTGGTGGGACACAAGGGAGAGAGAGTACACTTTAGATCTTGCTAATAAGCTCTTCCTGGGGTCCCAGAACATGAAATAAAGAATCAGACAGCAAGGAGAAAGAGAGCGAGGTCAAAAGACAGAGGATGCTATTTCAGTCCAACCTTTGATACGGAAAAAGGGGGGTCCTTAACTACACATGCAGATGGGGGCTTTAATAATGAAAGCTGTCCTGTTTGCCATTCTGAATGAGATTTAAGCATCATCCCTTAGGGTCCTCCAGTAGATGGCTATCCTATATTATATGGCTAATGCCCACTTTTAAGTGAGTATATACCATGGACTGGGGGAAGGGGTGCAGGGAAGAGGAAGGGAGGGTAGGACTTGGGGGGAGTTGAGGGAAGGGGCTTCAATTGGGATAGATAATAAATAAATTGTGAAGAAAAAAAGTTTAAAAAATAATGACAGCTATCGTAATCAGGGAACAGTCTATCTCTGACCTGCTAGAATTGGGAAGTAATTTTAAACAAGCAAGGGACTAATCTCTCACAGCCATGTTTGTGAAGCTGAGAGACAAAGACGCAGACAGAATCAGTCTGAGTACTGTGAAGAAACTGAACAATATAACTGTTCAACCCCCCCCCCCTTGAGACAAAGACTTCATATGAGGTGATACAAAAGGTCCTTTGTGGACAGGCTTATATACATCATTAGGAATACTTGACTATCGCTGAATGAAGTTCTCGTAAACATCAAGAATGGATAAAAAGGACGAACAGATGTTACTGAAGGAATTAGGCGACAGGTTCTGGGCCAGACAAGTTTGTATTCACTAAAGATTTTTTTAAGTTAATTCAGCATGGATCCCAAGACTGATTTGAAGCTTTTGTGGCTCTGAAAAGCCCTATAGTAGGATACAATTTAAGGTAGTAGGGGCTACGACAGATCTTAATTCTGTAACAGGGGATGGCAGTCATGTTCATGAGGCATATGCCATGGATCTCAGTTTGCAAGTAGGTACTGGATATGTGAGTTGTTCTCTGATGATGGATCCTTTCAGCAACCAGGTGTGGCTGAGGCAAAAAGCAGTGGGTGTTGGCCTGCAGCCCATCAGACCCGGGTGCCAGCCTTCAAATTGCCATCTAAATACCCATAGATCACCACTACTGTCAGCCTCGGTTGTGCTTACTTCAGAGACTCACAACCTGTTAAGTTGCTGTGAATAAGTGAGCGTTACTGTGACCTGGTAGTTCAAGGCTTCCATAAGTGGAAGAAAATGAGTAGACATCAACATCACCTCCTCCAAGGATCAGAGAACACCTCTTTTCCAGATCCAGGAAGCTCAGGAAACTTACCAGATTGACAAGATGCCCATCTCCGAAGTTATGTAAACAACTAACAGCTGCGAAGCAAAGATTTCAGTTGAGTGTATGCCCCACACCTGTCTGCACACTGGCAGGGAGTGCCAGCCTTGCAATTCTTTGAGTCCTGACCCATGCAGGGATCCAGTGTCTGAGTGCTATAACTGCCTGAGTTTCTTTTGTTCTTGTAAGTAACCCATTATTCAAGCTCCTGTAAGTAATGTCCAAAAATTAATTGCTTCCCCAAGACAGACTTTCAATAGAAGAAATTATTTGCTCTGTCATTCCCTATCTGAGATGAATAGACATTTGTTTGTAACTCTCCAGGAAAAGTTACACAACTGTTTATTTTTAGATTTTGTTAGACAGAGGTTATATAAGAAAATACTCTACTTTTTAATAAATTCTCTATTGGAAAAACATGGAAGTCTATAAGTTATTCTAAGAAAAACTAAAAGAAAATAATGTTGGATAGGAAAAGGGGAGAGGTTGGGAAAGGAGAAAAAGAAAAGGAAAGAGAAAAGAATGATGGAAGGAAGGAAGGAAGGAAGAAAGAAAGGAAGGAAAGGGTGTTTTCCATCATAGTTTCATTCTTCTCTGTGTCTTTACAAGGCTGGGTGGGAGAAAGGATCAAGTCAGACACCATATTTTAAAGGTTAGTATGTATTGGAGATGTGCTAGGTGCTTTTCCCAGAGAAAGCCAGTTAACTTGACAATCACAGGGTTACATGTTTATTTAATGTGGCTACCATGTCAACATCCACTTCCTCTAGCTCAGCGAAAACTTTCCCTCTCCAGGTAAGATTCCAATATGATGTACTTGTTTCTCAACTCACAAACATTAAACCAGCATTTTGTTCTACTGCCAGCCAGATCGAATGAACAACGTCAAAGTCATATAAGTAAGTTCTCTTGACTTCATACTCCTTTGAGGGAGTCAGTCAGCAACCTCTGTGGGCAAGCCCTTAAACGGACCATGGCCCTTAGTGAAGGTACAGTTCCTTTACATCCTCTCTTCTCATTACACATTGAACTCCCTGCCTCACCCAGATTCCTTTTCAGCACCTATGGATCATTCGTCTTTTCTCTCAGTCTGAAACTAATAACTGCTTTTGTGACAATGTGTGTTTGGTTCTGTTTGACACACCAAACAGAGCTTGCTCCTGGTCAGCACTGGTGAATGGCTGTCTGAGCTTATGGCTCCTCTTGACAGAAATACTGAAAGACCAAACTACAAAGAAATTATGGCAGAAGGCTGGGCTCAGAAAAAGAAGGAAAATCCTCACATAAAGACTATTAAACCTCAAGGTGGGCTGTGGGAAGAGAGCAAGCTGTACTGATGATGTTCAGGTCAAAGCAGACAGTTCACCCTGAAGGGTTATTCTATGAGGCTTCCTATAGCTAATAGAAATTTAACAGACTTCTGCCTTCCCCTCTTCCATGCCTTGATTTCTCTGTCTCAGCTCAGTTTTCCTGCTGATCTCTGCTAAGACTAATATATGGATCTCTTTATCAAGATACCTTGTCAATTGTCTCTGAAGGAACACAAGGCCAGTAATAGTCCAAGATAGCCCTGTCAACAGTTCATCTATACTGGTTTTCAGATTAATTTCCCTGCACTATGGGGGCGAGTGACTGAGTGTGGAAGTGTCAACCCAACAGAGGGTTGTGGTCCTTAGAGCGCCTACAAACCAAATGAGGCACACTGTGGGACTCCAGATGGCTGTCTCTGTGACTCTGCCACAGATGCTCAAATCCTGCCCTCCTCTCGAGGCTATGTGGCTCCATTATATGAACCAATCGTGCTGGCTTATGAGACAATATGTGCTTCTAGCCAAATGCGTGTGAGGGAGCTCCCCTGAGCTGTAATCAGAAGAGCAGAATTACAGCTTCAAGTATTATTTTTTTTTCCACAAGACCATGTACGTGCACACGGGTGTAAAAAACAACATGGAAATTCAATGCTGTATTCCACGGAGATTTTTCTCATAATATTAACAGACCTTTTATTTTGCTTGTTTATAACATTTTAAATTGCAGGGCTTTTTCTTAGCACTCCTGAGAATTTTGACCCATGTGAGGAGCTGATTTTATTTTGTTTTTTTTTTTCTTTTACAACATTTCAT